TTTGTTTTTTAAAAGAAGTGCATTTCAAAACAGACTAAATAGATCTGAATATCTTTAAGGAGTCTTTCGGGTCTCAGAAGAGCTATATCAGAAGACGGAAAGCGCAATTTTGTCCTCGAACTTCTTGAGCGCTGGTAGGTAACGGATGTGAAGAAGCAGGCCCGAGATGATGGCGCTGATTTAGCTATCCTTTAGCAAACGACCAAGGTCTTGGCGGCTCCTTTACTAGGGTGGACCTGAGTTCCTTGTAATAAACGCTTTTTGTCGGAACATCATATTGCTTTGACGGCACAGAATACAAATGTAGTTATTACTTTTGTGCGATACCTATGGGGAATGACCTTAACGTTTAACAGCTGACTGCATAAAACGCACACGTACATCCACGTTACATCCTGTATATATTCGAAGTCGCATGCCCCAAAAATATACAGTAAACTTCCGGATGTATATAAACAATTAAAATATAAACGATTTTAAGAAGAAATTAAAAATATTGCTACCTATGAAGATTTTTTAAATGACAGTCTCCAACCATAGATTTTATCCTGCTCATTATACTGCCTGTATCCTTTTTGACGTGACAACGTCTTATAAATTGGTTTGCCGGGTGACACTTCAAGAAACTGCGTTACGCTCCGCTCACGTTATGCGCTCACAATGAGAGCGAGTGAGAGGCACGCGTCCCTTCCACTCGGGCATGGTTAGCCCGCCTAAGAGCGAGAGAGACAGACATAAAAAGTGAAAGGCACGCGTCCCTTTTTTAAATATAATTCTTTGTATAAATAAATGTTTTAAATTGTTACTATTATTTCATCCTTCTTCCTACTATACGAATGAATATTCACATTAAAATTATTTTACCACTCAAAGTCGTTGTCACGTAAAACTTTCGCCCGTATACCGACTTTACAGGCAACCAATTTTTTTTTCTTTTTTTTTAAGATTTGTACGCCCCATGTGGCAGAATATGCTGTGATTCCTGATGGTATTTATTAAGAACTTTGTAACATATTCATCCATATAAATGCACCGATTTGATTTGTCATTTTTTCATTGTGTCCGAGGTATCACTCCGGCCGAGACAGTCCATTTGTGACGAAGCATAGGTTTCCCACGGCTGTCTACATATATTTTTTTACAATTTTACTATATTAGTATAAACGTATGTCATAGCAGCTACTATACTGCTAAACATTACAATGTATCAGACAACTTACAATCGAACTAAACATATAATATGAAATAACAAAAGAAAAAACTGTTGTAAGGACAGTTTTTTCTTTTGTTATTTAATAGTCACGTCCCATGTGATGTGTTGTCCGTGTGGTGACGGATTAAGAATACAGAGTGTAACCACCCATTTTTTTTTATGTTAGAGAGGGCAGGCAAGCAGACGGGTCACCTGATATAAAGTGACTATCGCCGCCCATGAACGTCTGCAAGTCAGGAGTCACAAACGCGTTGCGGGCTTTTTAGGAAGAAGTACGCTCTTTTCTTGAAGGTTTGAAGGTCGTATCGGTCCGGAAATACCGCAGACGATAACCCGTTCCACAGATTGGTTGTGGGGGGCAAAAAGTGTCTCGAAAAGCGCACAGTAGTAGTCATCCGACTTAGGGAGCCAACTACGCATCACAACAGGATTGCAGAGGGAAGGAAAACTAAAAACAAACCCTTTTTTTTTTTAACGTGTGGAAATCCCCTCGGACCGTCACCCCACCGGGGTTTGCGGCGGGGTGGTGTGTCGGACTCGGACCGACTAAAACCACACGGTGTGCCACTCTGCGCCTGTAACAGGAGGGATCCGAGAACAGCTGTTATTAAGACATCCGGACCCCTCCTAGCGCCAGCCCGCTCCTGGTGCGGGCTCCGTCTCAAAATTTTCCTCTCTTTAGGCGACGTCCGGCACACGCGGACGCCGCCCCCTCGCGGCTGGCCAAACTAACGTGGTATATAAGCTAGCTAACGTGGTATATTAGCCCAAACCTCATTTCTAAGGTGTGGCCTATGTCCAGCATTGGACTATTAAAGATGATGATCATGTGTAACATCTGACGTTTCTCATACCATGTGGCGACTAACTCATTGGTCAAATCAAATAACGCTCACTTCCACTACTTCTGTTGCATACTGCCGTCTCTTTTTACAAAATCACATCCAAAGATTACAGGAAACTGAGAGCAAAGATGTTTCATTTTAAAAATATAATACCTAGTAGGTATTTTAACAAACATAAAATGACATGTTTTTAAGGTATAAACGGGAGGGGTTGGAGGGCGTAAAGGGACAATCGGGCAAACGGGTCATCTGATGGTAAGTGAACACCACGGTCCATGGACACCTGCGACTCGCGAGTCTGTGGGTCCCTTCTCCCACAGGATTAGAGGTGAGGGGAGGGAACGAATGAACTGCTTAACACCAGTTTCCTATGAGTCACGGCCTCGCATACTTGCATTACGTCCATTCCTGTTCTGTGCGCATCATGTTATGTATATCCGAAACTCGTTTTTTTTTTAACAATTTAAAAACAAACGATCATTGTGAAATCTAAGTATTTACTAGAAAACATCCAAGGACTCCAAGAGCGGCAACTCACTTGTGACTTTTGAGCTGTAGGTGTCCATGGGCAGCGGTAGTTGCTTACCATCAGGTGACAAATCTGCTCGTTTGCCCCTTTTACCATAAAAAAATACTACCACAACCTTGGGTTATCTCTATATATGTAAATTAAAGTTAGTCGGAGTGAGTGGGTTGACTAAGGATGACTTGACTAATGGAATAAAATATGTGCTAAGTAAGTATTTTTCGTTGCTTTGTTATTTATTCCATGGAGATGTATAATTATCTAAACTACTATACTAATATTATAAAGTTGAAGAGTTTGTTTTTCTCGTAGTTTAATTGTAGCGCGCATCTCAGGAACTAGCTTAGATAGCCTATCGATAGGTAAGTTTAATTCTTTTGTTTTATTTCCATAGAAATGTATTCATTCTCGCACTTATTTTCACAAAACTTCACATAACCTTATTCAAATATAATCATGACCTACAGTAATAAGTATTTTAAATCACACCGATGTATAGGAAGTATTATAGTACAAATTGAAAAAGGACAAGTGCGAGTCGGTCTCGTCCACCGAGGGTTCCGTATAAATTTGTAGGTACATATTATAATTAGTTCAGGCATCGTGTTCCCGAAATTCAGTTTCCAATACCTATAATTACACTAATACAAGTGAAACATAAAAAGGGTTCTACTTAAGCCAGTTGAAGTTACTGACCTATTCCAACTATCGCTTGAACTGCTCAACCCATCCTTTTTTGATGGTCAACATGGTCAACTATAATTTTAGTCTTAATAAGCACATTTATGTATCCAAACTAATATTATAAATGCAAAAGTGTGTCTGTCTGTCTGTCTATTACCTCTTCACGCTTAAACCGCTTAACCGATTTAGATGACATTTGTCTAAAGAGTCCCGGGAAATCACATAGGAAAGTTTTTATGCCAGAAATCATCCTTTAATGAGGTGAAAAAGGAGGTGTAAGTTTGTATAGGGAATGGGGAAACTAACCTCTAAACCAATTTAGACGAAATTTCATATAAAGATAGTTTTATTTTTGAGGAAGGATATAAGTTACTATTTACAGCGATAAGCGACATATAATATGCATGTGTGTGTGATATACGTGAGTGTGAGTGTAAAGTTAATACTAAAGTATATTAATAGTACAGATACCCAGGCAGAGAAAGTGGTCGTGCTCATCACATAATATTTGTCCTGTATGAGAATCGAATCCACGACCGCCGGCTCCGACCTAGACCAACAGACCTGTCCTATCCATATGATTACATAATAATATACTCCATAAATGCAGCGACTTCTGGTGGCTTAAAGCAATTTTTTTCATACCACGGGAACAGTACCTTATCTTTTTGATCTACTCGTACATTTCTGTAAAAATAATTTTACGATGATCGGTTAAGTGAGTTAGGGATAAAATCGTAACAAATAAAGGAACTGTCACTGTCGGAAAGCCAAATGATGTAATTCCTTGGAAGAGTTGCACTCGTAATTGAAAAAGGAGTTCATTAAACAAGATCCTGTTTAACCGTTCTTCATCCCGCGGGCATTTCTTAGAAGCAGCGACGTACGGCGGACGACGACGTATGGTATACGGCGACGTATTACGTTTACGTATACAATAAAAACACCGCATTAAAATTAAGGATAGTAGAAATTCCTATCCGAAAACCAATAGACTAGTCTAAGCACCTAAGTTTGGGTAGGTTGGGTGCTCCTTAGCTAGTCGAGTGGTTCCGATTCAACTAGAAAGGTAGCCCCCTTTATGATTTTTATTTCGGAGATAATATACCTCACATCATTTCACACACGGCCGACTCTCAAACTAGGCAGAGCCTGTGCTGTGGTAACAACACTGCTGATAAACATACTTATATATTTTTAAATATATATAATATATACATAAATTACATCCAGACACAGAAAAAATGACCGTGCTTATCACACAATATTTGTCCTAGGTGGGAATTGAACCCACGACCTTCGGCTTAGCAGTAAAGGTCACTAACCACTAGACCAACAGGCCCTATCTATGAATTACTCTCTGATGATACATATTACAGTGACATTACTTTATTACAGTAATTACTTTATTACAAAGTATTTAAATTACTGTAATAATTAAATTACTCAAATTAAAATTCATTATAAGAATTATCCGTCATTCGTCCGCCATTATTAGAATAGAAAAAAAAAACGCTCAACAAAGAGTATTTTGAATTAAGTATTATACTAGTAACATTTCACTATAATTTTTCACTGCTTTTCAGTTACTCCCCGCCTTATCTGTTGACCGGTCAGTTGTGCGAAAGAATGTTTCGTCCAAGCAGTGGGTCGTCGTTCCTCGTGTGAGACGCTCGCGCTCTCTTGTGTAGTGTGATAGTGTGAACCGGAATATATAGTGGTAGAAAAAAAAATGGTTTGCAAAGTGCTGCCGAAGATTGAGACCCGTGAGTAATTAATTTAAATTTAGGTGTACAAAAAAATTATTTTGACGTCATAATTTAAAAAAATAGAATTTCGAAATTTGAATGCGTTTTTTTAAAGTAGGTTTAATATCTTAATTACATCAGAAGTTCAGTATTATTTTTGTAATACGAGATATCATTCGTTGCTTAACAAAAACATTAGGGCTCGAACCTGAAATCGATAAAAAAAACATCGATTTTGTTACAAAATATTCTGTTATCGGCATGCGACGTCTAAAATAAAAACTAAAATAAAAAAAACCACCTATCCTAAACTGTTACAATCCTAAAAAGAAACAATAATTTTGCGTTATTACCAAAGTAGGTAATTGTTGAAACTGACAGGCTTGTTGGTCCAGTGGTTAATAATCTTGCCTGCAAATCCGAAGACTGTCGGTTCGATTCATAGTTAGGACAAAGTGTGTAAAAGAATTGGGATAGGTGTAATTTATTTATAAGTAGCAACCCATCCCGGCTTAGTACGTCTATATATTATTTAAATTAACTCTTAAGGTTTAACCTACGTAAGTCGGTTCCTAAATATTGTTTTCTTTTACTTAAAAATATATATTAATTAGAGGTTAAAGAATATATTGAAATAAATAATATATTATAATTCATATATATTTACTTGCTTTACTTGAAAAAGTATCTAACCTATGCAATGGTGAAGACCGCATCCAATTCCATTGCGTGGTTTACGACGATATGCCTATTGAAAAATGCGTAAAGCGTCTATGTTTTTTTTTGTAACAATAACTTTACACATCTCACACACGGCCATCGGAACCCAAACTAGGCAGAGCCTGTGCTATGGTAACCAGACTGCTGATAAACATACTTATATATTTCTTAAATATTTTACACTACATACAGACATGTATGTATTTATAAATATATGTTTCAACAGCAGTCTGGATACTATGTCTCTGTCTAATTTGAGATCCGACGGCCGTATGTATTATGTTATTAGAAAATATTTTGGGATAATGACAGACCATGAGTAATAGATAATAAAAAAAAACTTATAAGTTCAAAAAGAAAAATCATTGTATCGTAAAAATGTATCGGAAAATATTTTATTGACAGATATTGGTACACATCATCACATCAACAGCCTTTAACAGTCCACTGGTGGACATAGGCCTCTCATTACAAAGGAGATTTTGGCCTACTATACCCTTACTTATATTGTACTACTAACCTGATCAAATTCTTGTATTGTCATCGCTCCTAAGTGGGCAAAGTTTCAAGTTAATTAGACGTTTTGAAGTGGGTCAAAATAACGTACGAAGTTCTGTTACACACATAGATACATACCAAGCTAATAAAATCGTGTTAAAAAAACCTTATAGCTACAGCTTATAGATACAACATACATAGAAGTTCGTGTCGGAACTTTTAGAATAGAAAAAAACAAAAAAAAAAACTATTATAATCAAAAAATTTGAAATTTTCATGTTTTCTGGAGTGCCCCTGTTTATTTTGACAGAGCCAGACTATTATATAAGTTATACGTATTAGCTGTAAACAATAATAATTAAACTTTACATAATTATAGTTTACTATTTTAATTTAGTATTGTTGTATATCTAGTATAGCAAAAGTACACTTAGTGAAGATGTCATTTAAGTCAATATTTAGTGTTAATTAATGGTTGTGAATTTGAAATTGAGCGGCATTATCAAACCTGACCTAACGCAGTAAATAAAGAGAAAAAAATACGTTTATAAACGATTGAAAATTAATGTCCACAGAGTTCATTGTTAGACCTTGCAATCTCCTTCACACTATATTTCTTATATAAAAGTACATCCTTTGCTATATTCCTGCCATGAAAAACAAAATTCGTCTATAAAAGTACTCCACTCAGATGGGAGTATCGTAATATCAGATGCCTTGGCCAACTTGTTATTGGCGCGTGCCAATGTTATACAATAGTGTTTGATAACAACCGTTATAAACAATACCGTAAGGTTGCCATTAGCAAAAAGAAAAGAAAATGACACTTCAGTGGGAAACTCGTAATCACTACCTTCTATAGTTGCACCAGAGACCATCTGGTGGTACCCAATTTTTCAATTTATACTGCACGGATGCTACTACTACGCTTAGTGTTGTGAGTCCGATCCCCACATGGGACGACACTTTGTGTGATCCACAAATTGTTGTTCTGAGTCATGGTGTTCTTTGTCTCCGTTTCATGATGTTTGTGAAGTCCCTCGCGACACAGAATATATTAATAATGGGGGAGTTGTCTTATTAAAAAATAAAAAAAGAGAGAGAAAGAATTTAATTCATTCTAATTATGATATACGGGTAAACCTGATGGTAGCTAATTACCGCTGGGCATGTACACCTCATGAGTCACAAGTGAGTGGCCACCCGTTGGGTCTCCTCCAGTAGAATATGGGGAAAGGCGTTTGGGCTAAAGTAGCCACAGTCAATCAGTGAAAGGCAACGAAAAAATTGCTTGAAAACTGTCTGCACGATCATTGGTTCTATGTCTGGGTATAATTTGTCTATCAACAGCCTTTAGAGTCCTCTGTTGGACATAGGCCTCTCCCTAGAAAGGAGATTTTTGGCCTACTATAAAACAAGTTTTCCTTCTCTTTGCAGTGCTGTTGTTTTGCGTAGTTTGCTCCCTCAGTAGGCTCTTACGACACCCTTAGGATAAATAGTGACATTCTGTATTCGTAATCTGTGTTTTTATTTCTTTTAAAATACAACTCCCGCACTAGGAATATAATACTGTGTTGCAGGGAACTTTTAAAACATACACGAAACGGACACAAAGAACACCCAGACTCGGGACAACAATTTGTGGATCAGAGAAAGTGATGTCCTATGTGGGGATCAAAACCAAAACACTTAGCGCAGTAGGAAGCGGCGAGGTTATCACTTCGCCATCCGTGCATTCAATTATTACCATGATGTGGGGTGTTGAAGTCTATGACTTTTTTATTTAAAGTTAACTATCAATTTTATTAAATGCCTTATTAATTAATAGTTTCTTTATGATAATAATATAAATATAAATTTAAATTTTATCATTTACATAGTTATTCATAGTATAGTAGCGTTTTTGAACTAAATGTCTTAATTTATAATTAAATATACTGTCTTTTTCTTTACAGTTTAATGTTTGTGTAATTTATGTATGTAGAATATTGTTCCGACCATAATTCATACAGTTTTTTCAATTGACCAATTAATCTTGAACTGCAATTCTATAGACTTGCCGTAACATTCAAGGTCAACTTTTATACCTACTGCTACTATCACTATTTACTAATTTTAGCTTTCTATTCTTCTTCTCCGTCTGCTGACGGATTAAGCGTATTCTTATTGCGTGGCGTAAGAGCCGTCTAAGAGAAAACACTACGCAGAACAACAGCACTACAAAGAGAAGGAAACCTTGACAGAAACCCTATACCAACCCGTCTGGCCAGCGTGGTATAGTAGGCCAAAACCTACTTCCTAAGAAGAGACCTATGTCTAGCAGTGGACTATTAAAGGCTGTTGGTGTGTGATATGATTCTCCTTCTCCGTAATATTTCAGGTTTTTTTTATGTATTTTTATATTCTAGCACAAATATGTGACCTTGACCTACTGGAGCTTTTGTTTACTCTACAATCCATCCGTATAAGCGATTTGCCTTTCCTTCTATTGCCTTCTTAATAGGGGGCAAGCTTATTGTCAAAAGGGCATATATTTCTTAACAAGTACACTTACATATCTCTAAATACAAACATATTATAGATGCATTACAGGGGCTCGTATCTAAGTAGGAAATGAGTAGATTAGCACATTGCAAAGTTAAGTTAGAGCTAGGTCAGTCTATAGATGGGTGGCAGTTCTTATCACAGTGAGTCCCTCAGAGAGCATTTTAAGGAGTTGGTCCCGGTCGCCATGCAAACAGTAATGGCCATCCTAACGGGTTGTAGAGCCCTAAAAAGTCCGAACTTCGATATCGTCTAGTACTTAGGTTGTGGAGAGCTGACGACAGTCGCTTAACGTAAAAAAATCCGGACAAATGCGAGTCGGATTCGTCCACCGAAGGTTCCGTACAGATTAGTAGGTACATATTAATCATACTAATCCATACTAATATTATAATTTAAGGGGGTGACAAAAGGGATTGAAGTTTGTATGGGAAATCCATAACCGCTAAACCGATTTAGATGATATTTGGTATGGAGATAGTTTGATTTTTGAGGAAGGACATAGGCTACTTTATACCACGATAACCAACATGCACGTGGGCCGAGCAAATAGTTCAGGCATCGAGTCTGGCGATTGTCGAGCTATTCCGGAAATTCAGTTTCTAAAACCTATAATTACTTAAATTAACTCTTAGTCTAGTGGTTAGTGACCCTGCCTGCTAAGCCGGAGGTCGTGGGTTCGATTCCCACCCAGGACAAATATTGTGTGATGAGCACGGTCATTTGTTGTGTCTGGGTGTAATTTATCAGTAATCTGGCTAGCATAGCACAGGCTCTGCTTAGTTTGAGATCAGACTGCCGTGTGAGAGATGTGTTAGGTTATTTATTTATTATTATTGTGTTTTATAAGCAAAAGTACCTTGACGTATTTAAAAAAAATATTTTTGTGATTTAATTACAAATGTATAGTTTTTCAAAGTAAAGGCTTGTTTCAACACAGAATGATTATTTATTTTGTCCAAAAACACATACCAAGTTAACAACACACAGGAAACGGTTAAATATTTAGTGGTGACACTAAAAAAACACAAATATTACTGAAATATAAAATAAAATACTTAAACTAAAAACTGTAATTTTAATCTATTGTGATATGTAGTTTAGGATTTACAAAATTGGTTCCCAGACTTTGAATAAGAATTAAATCGTCGCCAACAGCCTCTAATAGTCCACTGGACATAGGCCTCTTCTTAGAAAAGAAATAATTAAGAATTATTTAAATCAAACTATTTGTACGAAAGAAATAAGAATTTCGT